GCTAAAGTTTTAACCCATTACCCCTTGTCCTACCACTACAGTCCCTAATGAAGAGTCCCTCCGCAGCATCCCTATAGGCCCCCTTCAGATACTGGAAGGCTGCTCTGAGGTCTCCATGCAGCCTTCTCTTCTCCAGGCTGAACAGCCCCAACTTTCTCAGCCGATCTTCATATGGGAGGTGCTCCAGTCCCCTGAGCATCCTCATGGCCTCCTCTGGACTTGTTCCAACAGTTCCATGTCCTTTTTATGTTGAGGACACCAGAACTGCACACAATGCTCCAGGTGAGGTCTCACGAGAGCAGAGTAGAGGGGCAGGATCATCTCCTTCGACCTGCTGGTCACGCTCCTTTTGATGCAGCCCAGGATACGGTTGTTTTCTGGGCTGAGAGCACACAAAGTAAGTGGCATGGCACTGAATGTTGTCTTCAGAAATCAAGGGAAGACAGCCCCAGATGCATATTACTAAGAAGCAGTAGGAATCAAGAGGAGAGAGCAACTTTCTGGTGGGCCAAACACTATGGGGAGGTCTCAAATTAGCATAGAGAATTGACTACAGAAGGGATAAAGGGAGGAGAAGGGATTGACCATGACGATAACACTGCAATGCCAACAACCATACTAAGCATACACCAATTGAACTGAAGGGCCACCGGTCCTTACCCTTCCAGGTAACTGCTACATCTTGATGATAAAGAGTCACAGATTCCTATCAATAAAAGTTTCAGCCAGAAGCTTTAAACCCAAGGCCTTGTGTCTGGAGCTTTTATTAAAACACTATGTAAAAAATATGCAAAGCTTATCCTATTATCTCAAACAGATCTCAAAAGTACTTTTACTTTCATAAAATGAATTGCTAAAGTGCAAAGGCTTCCCAAGCCATGGAAATAACGGCACCAGGCCCTCCTCTAAATATTTATGTAGCGTGATTGCAGCCATTTTGCAGCCTCCTTCATAAAGGTGTTAAAACATTAAGAGCTGATCCTAATTCTTGGAGGGAATGTCTAACTATTATGAAAATTTCCCTTTTCAGTAAAACCCAGAGACCTTTTTCTTTGCTTTATTCCTACTATAAAAATCATTTAAAGCCCATTTAATCTGGGTCACCCAAGTGCAGGAAAGATCTTCAGGATCGTGTTTGTTACATACATCTTCTCTTGACTGGGCTAACAGCTCCCTGAGGCAGGATTCTCCCCTTAGGGTTTCTACAGCCCCTGAATCTTGCGGTTTAATCATACCAGAAGGTTTTCTCCCCTCTGCTTTCCTGTGTCCTGCTTTGCTTATGGGCTCTGTGACTGCTGTGACATCTAAGGGTGGCATTTTGTAGTGAGCTTATCACTGCCTGACTTTCTTGGCACTGCCATTAATATGGAAATACAAGAAATAGCTAAAACAACAGAAAATTATTCATTTAAAATACTGTAAAACCAAGGTCATTCAAACACTCTGAAGTAGAATACAGAAAGTCTACACTTTTTTTCTAATTTTGCAACCAGTTCTTCAAGTTTTGCAGCCCAAAATCATATACCAGAGGCTGGATGTTGTTTGCTATAATAGAGCAGTGCTAGGCCCAGATGAAAACCATACCTAAAGTGAAACTCCATTGAGTTTCCCTGCAGAAAACACAAATCCTTCGAAAGCACAAGCTTATTGCTTATCTCACTCTTTTAAACACTGCAGGTGTTTAATAGGGTTATCAGGTATTATGTATCTCAGTCTACCATTCAAAGTACCAAACCTTTCAGAGTTGAAGTGTTAAGAACCCTAACAACTCCACACAAAGGTACAATGTAAGTGCTGTAAATGCTGTTCAGATGCTGCACATGCCTTTTGTTTTTAACTCATCTGAACAGCTCTTCATACATTCCCATTGATATTACCAAATGCTGCAGGAAAGATGACTCGGTGCAAACACCCTAGGATGACCACTGTCCCATGAATAACCCTAACCGTTCTAACACCTTTCCTAATGGATTTTTAGCAGGATGCGTAAGCAGTGATTTGATGAGTTTCTTTAGAAACTAATCTGAAAAAAATGCGTATTTTAATAAGGCATGAAAGCCTTCCACTGAACAGCTTCTCATGGACATCCCTTGCGAAAGCAGTCAATGTTGTCAAAGGCAGATCTCTAGAGTAAAGCCCTATGCCATGCAGATACAAGAATTAATCATGACAAACACTCGTTATCACAATAAAATTAAGAATTAATACAATGGTTACCAGACTTTTGCACGTGGGGTTAAAATAAAGGGCTGATAAAAAGGCAGGAACAAAAAGACTAAACTGTGTTTCATTTTAGCAGATGTCCCGGTTTAATTCTGTGTCTCTTATGCAGGCTGAGCTTCCAAACTGCATCATCAGAATACTTTTGCTTTGTTCCATTTGATAACACACCTACCCACCTCATCTCAATACTGCTGAGAAGCACCTGATTTAGGAATACAGCAGACTCCTCACTGGCCAATATCAACGTAATACTTAGCCACTGAACAAGCAGCATCAACCATAATAAACCTGAATCTAAACTCCCAACACAGAATAACACAGGTAAGTAAGCGCACAGCTTTCAACCTGTGAGAAGCTCAAGCACAGTCACTGGTGGCTGTGGGCTGCTGTATCTCTAAGCATCAGAGAAGAAAACCATGCACAGTCCTAACTCCCTCTCATTTCCCTATGCAAAACAACAAAGCTGCTCAAGAGATCTTAGCACTTCACTCACCTCTTGGCACTCACATCCTGAGTGTGTTCAACCAGCCAGTCTCCAACGACTGACCTACGCTGCTTTAGAAATGAAGGGGCTACCACGATTTCATCATTGCACCAAATATTCAGTGCAAAATAAAGGGTAGCAAATGGATGCACAGGCACTATAATGAACAGCCCATAACCAAACTCCTTGCTTGTCTATAGCTTTCCAGGCTCCAACAAGTCATTAAGCAAATCATTCTTCTCTACCATTTGTTCTGCTGACAGAGAGCAGATCCAGGCTAGGCTCAGCTAACTGTGGGTTTACAAGAGTCATCAACAGAGAGCCCAACAAGCATTTACTTGGCAAGAGCCATTCTTACTGCATCTTGAGTGTGCACATTTCTGACCTGATCTAATCCAGGCTGCAGAGAATTGAACAGAACCAGGTGAGCACTGCAGTATCTGAATGTACCTGTTCGGATATCTCGGGTCCCTTCATCAATCTTCAGTTTGTCCTGAAAGGCAAAAGGACTGTCCAGCTAAACCAGTTGAAGAGCTGCTTGACAACAACCTGCAAATCAACCGAGGCAAAGCCTGCTCAATCCCTGGCAGCCCCATGCACCAGGGCACAGAGCCATCCTTGACCTTCCGTTTCCTGACTGTTCGCATAGAGCAGCCAGAGCTGGGATCTTGGGCCAGAATCCTCAAAACTCTCAGGGCCCAGGGATTTCTGGATGAGCACTTTGCTGCTTGGCTCAAGTGTTTTAGAGTTATACGTGAGAGGCAATCCCTGACTGGTCACAGCCTTTATGGTGCTGTGATTTCACAAACATCCGAAATAGAGCAGAAAAAGGAAAATCTTACTTAACCCTTTGCCTTCACAAGTTTATTCCCTACAAGATAATTCTTGGTGTTTGGCCTCAGCAGCATACAAGGAACTTCAAAACTGTCTGCTGCACTGGAAACACTGCAAGATGAGAAATTACTGCATTGTTTATGGGGCAGAGCAGAAAATGCAGTGCTGCTCCCTGGTATAGAATAGTGATTATTGCTTGTATTGAAGGACAATTCCCACATTTGCTTCCACTCTACACCAGAAGACTGCCTTTGAACGAAGCTCTATTTTCCCCAGTGCAGGGCTTGATGTGCAACACCCTCCTGCTGGTTTTCCATGCTTTATGCATATACTTTGTTAGGTCTGATATCAATCATCCTGGTATAAAATATTCTCCATCAATAACTGGAGATCTAAAGAACTTTCACACTATTTAATTATGGGTGGAGAGTTACCTGTGTATTATCAACCCTTTGAGGCACAGTTTAACAACTTCAATTATTTTCCTCTTGATGCTTGCATATCACATGTGCATATGTACATCAACAACAACGAGTCCAGGGGAAGAATTAACTAACTATAAAAGAATCTAGCAAAACCCTGAAAGCTCTCCAAAGTGCAGACTATATTATGCAGGGATTGATTTTGGTTTTTTGGATTGCTAAGAGTGATTCCAGAAAGAAAAATACTTTTCATTCATACTGCAATACTGCTTGAAAAACATACATGCCTCCTTGCAGAGACCCACTGCAGAACAGAACATTTACTGGAGATTACTTGTGGGCTTGCTTTATGTAGTGTGAATCTTAAACAGTAAGAAGAATGGTAAGGTGAGAAATGTGAGTTATTATTTATCTCACCTACCTCTGGAAAACAGCTCTTAAAAAGTAAGTTTTATATGGTGTAACTTACTGCACAAACCTTAACATAGTAGAGTCACATCCAGGCAATCTCTGGACCTAATTCCCTCTTTCTCACTTAATCTGAACTACATGACAAGTAAATCCACTGCAGCACAATGAGTTACATCAGAAAATGGCACAAGGTGCGAATCAAGTTGTGTGAATCATCTGGGAATATTCTGCCCTTCCACAGCTTATCAAGGAGCTGCACAACCTGAAATACAGCATCCAGTGCTCTTAAGTATAGTAAATCCTTTTATGCTCCCAAGGCAATAAAAGGAATCATACAACACAAACAAGAAGCAATTTAGGCCCTTATCAAGATTATGACCCAAAATTAATCTATTAAAAAGCATTGTGTGAAAACCACTATGCCATCAATACATTTTATAACAGAAGGTCTGGCAGATGGAAAAGTTCAGAACCACCTTAATCAGCAACATGCCCGTCTCTCAGTTTTATCTTCCCAGATATCAACCTGCACTCCAGAGGGGTTACATTCGTTCAAACACACACAGTTTAATGATCAAACCATTGGTTTGCCTCTTCTGAAATGAAGAGGTGTATAAATAGATCAAATTCTTCAACCCAGAACAGTCGCACAGCAAAAACTCTTAGCAGGAAAAGTCTCTGCATCCTGAACAACCAAAGAGTACCAGGAGCAGGAAAGATGAATACCATTCTAGTCTTTCTACTCATTGCCCCACTTCCTCTTTCAGCTGGAGCTGAAAAGGATTCTTCCTCCTTTGATCCTGCTTTATCACCCGAGACAAGATCAAGATTTGCCATGTTAGATGATGTTCGAATCTTAGCCAATGGACTCCTTGAGCTTGGGCATGGTCTTAAAGACTTTGTCCATAAGACAAAGGGGCAGATGAATGACATCTTTGAAAAACTTTACATTTTTGATAGGTCCTTTTATGAGCTCTCACTGCAAACGAGTGAAATCAAAGAAGAAGAAGAACAGCTCAGACAAACTACGGCCAGACTGCAAATCAACAATGAAGAGATAAAGAATCTCTCCCAGGAGATGAATTTGAAGATTGAAGACCTCATACAAAACAAAATCCAGCTGCAAGAGAAAGTATGGGGACTGGAAGACAAAGTCACTAAACTGGCCATCACCCAGCCTTCGATGGAAGAGACAAAGGAAATTTCTTCACTCAAAGTAAGTAGAGTTGTGAAAGCCCCTGACACCCAGAGCCAAAGTAAACTGTAATGCTATTAGTGGGAGTTATGCAATAGAAGCTCATGTTTTATCTTCCTCCTCACTGTAGTACTACTGTGTATTTTGAGAAATAAATCACTGCAATAGTCTTGTATGAATCAGTGTCTTCATCAGACATATTATTTTGCAGTAAAACTCCCCAGTGAGCTAACAGGTCTCTCTATCTTTTCCACTATTCTTTTGCAAGTCACTTTAAAGAAATTCTGTAATAATAATGGTAAAAAATTTTTGCAATCAGGAAAATGATGTGATTTCCAAGCCCATAGGTTTGTATGTCATCACCTCATTACAAATCAATGCACTAGGAACTGTCTGCTTAGTATAAAAGCAGGAAGGTTAAACCTTTAAAGAGGGACATCTATATTACCTTTATGACCTCCAGGACAAAGAACCTTGCAAGTGTCAGCACGCTTAATGTCAACAGATGCAAGTATTTCGGGGGGTATAAGGCTTCCTATGGAAAAGGAAGTGTTAACTGTATTTTGCAGAAGTATAAAAGGCTAAGCAACTTGTGCGAGAAAATACTGGATGTTTGTGTCAAAGCAGAACGATGAATCCAGATCTCCCAAATCCCAAGCTAATACCTTAAATGCTGGGAACTGTTCCCTGTTTTGATCAGTGGCATAGATCTAGTTTGAATCAAGGGCCAACTTCATAGAACAAAATTGTTTTGGACATGAAAATTGAAGGAAAAAAGGAACAACAATGAAGTTCTACAAAGCTGCCAGCAGTTTGTCTTAAAAAATGGGTGTTTGCTTCAGAGACAAATTCATCCCTTAAGGGGCAAAGCAGGCAACCCTTTGGAAAAGGAAAGGCAATGCTAAATGATTTATGCCTCTCAACACTGGCCCCATGACAACAGCTATGGAGCCAGCAGCACTGTGAATGTCTTCTGCTGCTTTTAACCACAACCTTCCTCCTGTCCTCAGGCTTTCGTGGAGCAGCAGGACAATGACATAAAGCAGCTTCTCAAAGTTGTAGAGGACCAGCACTTAGAACTCGACAGACAGCACAACCAAATACTGGAGCTGGAGGACAAGGTACCAGAACCATCTCTGTTTCTCTTTCCAGAACTTGTCATCTCTCGTAACATTAAATGAGTCAATGGCCTGACCATTCATTCTGGTCAGCCATCCCTCTTGTTCACAGCTGGGTGGTGTAGAGGAGAGTATAAGCAATTTTGACCACACAGAGGTACCTTTTCGGGTGAGAGACTGCTGTGCTGCCAAGCCAGGGGCTATGGCGAGAGCACATGATGACCAAGAACACAGATCTGAAATGCTGTCTAGCAACAGTGTTTTCTGACTACTTCTTTTCTGTTTTATCTACCCTATCACTGTTTTCCCAGTGGTCTTCTACCTCTTTCTTCTTTACCAATATTCACTCCAATAGAGAGCCACGTTCTGCAGTCCAACATGTGTCACCATAACGCTGGGTATAACTGACATGCTCATATTTAATTTATTCCTAAGAGGAGGCTATAAAAAGAAAATGCATTTCAGCCTAAGGAACTGTGGATTCTGTGCTCTTTAGATGTTGGTATTATTTGTCTAAGTGGTGTCACCTGAGGAAATAAGTTAAACCTGTTTGCCCATTAAGGGGCATCTCGTGAGAATGGGTCATTTACTTGCCTCATGAATCCTACCTTGTTTGAGCAGTGGCATTCGTGTGACTGAAATCCACCAGTGTGGTCCTAAAGTTATTTTTATGTTGTAAGTTGGGTGTTCTAAAGGATTACATTCACAAGGAAAATTACTCTCTGCAGGACATTGTTTGGCTTGATACATGAATCTCATCATTTCAGAGCCTTGGGAAATTAACAGCCTGTAATTATGGTTCTTTCAGCTAAACCACATTGAGCTCCAGGAACACGCAGAGAACTCCTTTGTGGAGGAGCTCACAGAACCAGAGGACACCCCCGTCCCTGTGAGCAACGCCACGGCTGTAACATACAGCTCTGATGGTGAGACCTTCTCTCTTAGACGTGACTATGCAACACACTGTATTTACAGCATGCTCTATGAACATCTTGTGTTGGGTATTAACAGTCAAGGACTAAAAGCAAAAGACTTCGGTTACATACAGTGCTCTGGGATGGAGCTAGAGTTCCTGCTTTGGGAAAAATGCCATCATCTGCTTAGCCCCAGTATACATGTACATCTCTGGGGTGACATGGAATAACATCCAGTAATGCAGTAATCCTGTCCTCAGTCCTTCTCTTCCATTCACCTCCTGTAAACACATGCTGAGATCATGCTTTTAGAGTCACTTCCGGCACTGCCAATGCCTGTCTTGGAGAGCATGAACAGAGAACTAATTTACTTCACAGTGGCTAATTATAAGCCTTGGAAGAGCTTTCTTTGAAGTTGAAAGGCATTTTTGAACTGCAGCAATGCGAATGGTATTTATTGGGAACATTACAAGAGGCAGGAAAGACCATTTGCCAGAGTTTAGTCTTAGTTCTTACAAACTTTCCAGAATTATCTAAATTGAAACCTTGACTAATGTATGTTCAACCTACTACAACTTGGCAGCTGCATCACCAAGCCCAAAGCAGTTTGTCCATTTCATGACATTTACTGTAAAATGGAATTACCAGAAAGATGGTTCAGGTTGTTATTTTGGCTCTATTCTGTACAGACACTGAAGTTACAAAGCTGGATGACAACTTCCCACATCCAAACCAAGATTTGTGATTGTCTGCTCTTTGCTTTCCTAGGTACCATTCCTGACTGCAGTGCACTTTACAAGAGCGGCACGCGGTCCAGTGGTGTCTACAGTATTAAGCCCAATGGCTCCGAAGCTTTCGATGTCTACTGTGAAATGAAATTTGGTAAGACACCTGTGCTAGAAATAATCTAATTTTCACCTCTTGTTTATAAAGAGGCAAGGACTTTCAATCATGTGATATAAATTAAATGTATTTAAAAAACCCAAGCACCTTCAGCTATAGATAATGAAAATGGCAATTATAAATGCCATTATATCACAACCATGAATAGATTTCCAAATCAAAGCAAACAGTAATTAGTAAATACCTTAGTAAAAATTTGTTTCATTAACAAAGCTCACTGCTTGAGACTTAAGATTCACCAGACTAAAGAGGTGAGCCCTGGAGACAGGATTCCTGCATCATGTCTGGGTGAGTCAGTAGATATGTATCATACATATCCAGAATTGTCATGGACCAGGAGGCACAGCACCAACCCAAGCTCTATCTTTGTAAGAAACCCGTTTCTCCGTTCCTTTTGCCACTACTCAGAGATAACACATCACTTGGCCAGCTCACTGTTTGCTCTTTTGTAAACCCTGCAATGCAGCACCACACAGTGCTGTCCTGTGCGTGTTCTGCCCAGCCTCCCTGCATGGTCCCTTGGCCACGGGTACCTGGATAGCCTGGGAACACGCTGATGCAACCATGGCAGGGCCATGTGATTTGTCTGGACGTTTAAACAGAAAGACATGGGACTGCCCTGTGCAAAAAGCTCCTTTGATTACATTTACTGAAACTGGTAAAACTAGAGTGTAATGACCTGGTTAGGAGAAAGACCCTACTGCAACCACATCATGGACACAGCCTCCAACACTTCATACCTTCTATGGAGTTGCCTTGCTTCAGTCAAGCACTATGAGCCTGGCAATCTGACCAAATGTCTGCAACTTTTCATGTCTTTTTTATCATTCTCTCTATGTCTGTGTTTCTCAGCCCTAACAAACAAATGGAGCCCAGTTAAGTCAGCTTAACAAAGTAAGTCCAGTGAGCTAAGTTACCATGAGTGTGGCAGAGGAGTCCAGAGGGGCTCCAACAGCCGCATGTTCTGCTCGGCTGTGCCCACTTGAACTTCTTCCATGAAGATTTAAGCTAACTCATTCTACCTCAAATTTGGAGCACCCAAGAGCACTCATGGACAGTTAATAAGGACAAGGCCAGCTTGGACAGGGCTTTGAGCAACCTGCTCTAGTGGAAGGTGTCCCTGCCCATTGCAGGAGGGTTGGAACTGGATGAGCTTTAATGTCCATTCCAACTCAAACCATTCCAGGATTCTATGATTCTGTGAGTCAAACATCTGCTCTCTGTACAGCCTAAAGGCTGTGTAGCTCATTACATGCGCACTCATGTCTTTTGCAAAATGAAGAGTAAGTGGGATTCATACAGAGCTACCTTCAATGCAAACCCATTTGCTTATTCTCTGGTAGAGAGTGAGCTCACATAAGTGCAGCTCCAGCAATGCAGTCTGTAGGTCAGCAGCTGATGCTCTCAGTTACTTTCCATCTACTCTCTAATCTTTAAACACTTAGGCCAGGCTTGGGACTTACTTCCCCTTCTCATTTGCAGGCAGTTCCTGGACTGTAATCCAGAAGAGAGTGGATGGATCACTAGATTTCAACCAAACCTGGGATGCCTACACAAACGGCTTTGGTGACCTCAATGGTAAAAATACCCTTTTTTGGTGTCTTTTCTTTGCATCAGTTGATTCAAGAAGCTGAATCTTCTTACTGAAATGTGTTCACATGAAAGCAGGCAAAACCAAACACCAAACATGAGCAGTTTACCTAATTAGAACACCAGAAAATGCTTACCAGAAAATGTAACTCAGTAAAACTCTGAACAATGCACTTCAAAATGCATTTAGAAACTTCTGCCAAACCAAAGCCAGAATGCTTTAAATGGTATTTTAATTATCAATATTATACTATTTATAAAAGCACTTCCCAAAGCCTTTAAAATAAGAGACAAGTGCAAAACCTCAGCAAGTTGCTGTCACTGCCTTCTCTCAACCTTTTGGCAACCCTGCTTCCCTTTAAAACCACCACATGGCAAACCAACCTCAAAAGCACCTAAAGCTGTGTGTGCTCCCCTGCACAAACACCTCCAGTGTCTCTGTGCAGTGGCCAATCCCCTCCGTGGCTGGATAGGGTGAGGAAACACCCACGTTTCCCTGTTAATCATCAACTCCGAAGAATCTGGAGCACCAACTGCTGCCCAACAGCCTCCCTGTCCAGAGTATCTTCCCTATTTTTCTCACACAATGAGTCTACTTTTGGTTAGACAACAGTCTGAATTTCTAGGCACGGCTAAGACCAAAACCTCACCAATGTGGGCAGCAGTATTGACTTACTTCCACCTCTTTTACAATAAGGAGCTGCTCCATCTCAGCCTTTCCCACATTTTGAGACAGCAGCTCACAACTGAGGGAGACTTTTGCCTGCATAGTTTGATCATACTGAATGCCCCTTGATTGGCCTCCAATGAATTCCCACATACTGCACCAACAAGAAGCCACATCTTTTCAGTGTCATCACTCTCAGCTATGTCCTACTCAGCTCTGTGCTGCATAGTCTGAGATGATAAAATACAACAGGCTGCTCCTAATCTGTTAATTGTGGGAGTATTTTACTCAGTCATCTTGTCTTATGTTGCTTTAAATGCCACCTGTATGTACAGCACTCTCATTCAGCTACACTATTTCTACATGTGGCAATTACCCATTGTGCACTGATACTTGCAGCACTGATAAGCTACTTAATGAATATAATTTATGAAACTAATTGCACCAATTATCAAGAATTCTAGCAAAAGGAAAATGCTCAAGTTAAATTCACTTCGTACACAAGGGTATCGAAACCTCGGTTCAGCTCTGCAGCTCCTTCCTTAAGAACTACAACAATTACAATTAGGTTTTATGTATGTCATTTCCTTCATTCGTCACACAGTTGCAATTACACATGTTTTAATTGTCTTGAGCTCCCTGCTAGAGTTTCATAAGAGGTGGAAAAGTTAAGAGAGAAGCTCCACTTCATTTATATCTCTTGCCTTTATTGATCACTGGTGTGCAATTAGGGAGAAGTAAACAGAAAGAATGTAGCAGGAGACCTCTGAAAAGATCAACAGTCCCCAAGACTCAAATTATTGATTTAATTAAAGCGATGAATAAATCCCTTTAAATACTACATTTTCACACCTACTACCCACAGGTTATCTGCAAAAACAAATTCAACAGCAGTGTGAGCAATAAGGGGTTTAGGGAAAGTTTAGCACATAACCCCTTCCCTTCTAATGGTCTGCGTGGTGACTTCTGTCCCCTGATGCTCCCCTCTGACATCTCTTGATTCTGACATTCCACAGCTTATTTGAACACATATTTTCATATACTGATATTCTAAAGGTGAATCAGCTCAAGCATGGGTTAGAAATATGCAAACCATGGGGGTTCATGTCTACTCCCATATTAACAGCATCTATTTACAACTTTGCAGAGGAATTCTGGCTCGGCCTCAACAAGACCTATTCCATTACTAAGCAAGCAGACTACATCTTACGGATTGAGCTGCAGGACTGGAAAGATAATAAACGTTACATTGAGTATGCATTCAGTTTGGGAGGCCCCGAAACAGACTACACCCTCCAGCTTTCACGGATGTTTGGGAGCATCCCCAATGCCCTGCCGGAGCAGACAGAACTGCGGTTCTCAACTGCAGACCATGAAGCAAACACCACAAATGACTTCAACTGCCCAGAAAACTACCTAGGTATCAGTATGCTGGGTATATTAACATGGGAGTTGCTTTGCTATATGAAGGATGGTTGTGGGTAGAATGCTTTAGTGGGTAGTTACTGATACTAGCCTGGCTTTAAATAGAGAGAGGGCAGCAGCACCTTTCCACTTAAAGATGGTTTTTGTTAGCAGACAGCAGGGTCCTACAACGAGGCATCATCTTTCTGTTTTATAGATAGGTAAAACTACAGCATAGTGAGGCTGTGCAAAGGATCACCATCAGAAACAGAACTAGCAGCACCAGTTGAAATAAAACCCCAGGATGAGACTCTAAGCTATAAAGTAAAAACCAGTTCTTCCACTGATGCCTGGTCTGGTGTGGCAGCCCTAGGTTGGGTCAGATAGTTTAACCCCTCCTTGCGATAAAAACAGAAGACAAACTTGACCCATAACTCAATTTTAACTGTAACCCAAAAGTTAAGAACGATGGTTAGATGGGGCTTGGAGCAAGCTGCTCTAGTGGAAGGTGTCCGTGCCTGTGGCAGGGGGTTAGAACTGGATGAGCTTTAAGGTCCCTTCCAACCCAAACCATTCTAGGATTCTATGATGAGTTTCCATTCAAAGGCAGATTTTAGCTGTTTGTGAAGTACACCCAGTATAATCAGCCTCAAAAGAGCAAGAGAGATGCAAGGCTGAAGATACTTCTCCTTAAAGTTAATTTGGTTAAAGGAGTCCTAATTCTTTGATTTTCTGAAGCTTTTATGCTTTTCTAGTTTATAGCAAAAAGCAAACAATTGAAAAAGCAATTAAATGATTAAACCAGAGAATACAGAATTGCCCTCCAGACATCCTCTTCATGCAACAAACATTCTGTACGTCATTCTAAGCTTGAAAATTGTTATTGTCTGAAACAATGTCGAGAGCATTACTTGGCTCCAGTGACCATAAAACAGATGGCCAATGACTTCCAAAGTGCTAAACTTTCTTTCTGAGCACAGAGTTGCTGCCAGTCCTTTGCAAGCGTAACTGGGCTTATGATTTAAGCTTGTGATTAAGAACACCAGCCCATAAAAAAGAGAATTTGCTTACTTAAGGCTCTTTTGCTTACTTCAGCCTCTTGCAGATGCAGAGATTTAACTATTTGTACCTGAGACAAATACCAGCAAATCAGAAAGTCAGTTGTGGAGGGTCATATGAAACATGGAAGCATGGAGCTAACTTCTTCAATGTCCCAATTCAGTGGTAGCATTTGTGTGTGCAGTTTTCTCTGCATCACTACTTTGACATGAACAGGCAATAACAGGGAGCACAGCATCTTTGTATTGGCCCTCAATTTGCAAGTGTAAGTGGGTATAGCTACAAGAACCATTTTGTTTGGGTAGACTGGGTAGCTGTCCCTCTTGCTGGAAGATTCACGTTGAAACAGGAGCTGAGCACAGTTATGTCAGAGCACAACTGACATTACAATATTTTTCCTTAGGAGGCTGGTGGCACAATGAATGTGAGGAAACCAATCTGAATGGGAAATACGTCACACCAAGGTCAAGAGGAAGACTAGACAGAAGGAAAGGCTTATACTGGAAGCCTAAGAAAGGAAGATACTACTTGCTAAAGTCAACCAAAATAATGATACACCCAACAGATCTAAAGAGTTTTGACTTTACTCAACCCAATGTAATTTAATCCAGAACATACACGCTGAACATTACTACAAAGGAGTTCATGTTATGTTTAATAACAGATGTATGTCTAAATCCATACGCTGTATGGTGTATTCTCCAATACATAAACCTGAGGCATTTGTGATGGTCTTACAGTAGGTTTGGTGAGCCCCAGGGTCAATGTGCTGTAACTTTCATGGAGCTTTTACCTCCATTGGATGAAACTCTTAACACCTGGGAATCAACCACCTATTCGTGTATTAGATATTATTGCTTGGAGGAACGGGTTTTCAGGCTGCTGCATTTGTTTCTGGGTTGTGCAGAAGGGAACAAAGCATTTCAGGAAATGAAGGGCTGGCAAAATGCTTTGGAAGACGTTTAGATATAAATCGATAGGGAAGAAATCTTGTTTCAGAAGGTATCAAAATTTGATGTTTGGTTCATGTTACTGTGGAATGTTTCCATGAGCAAACGAAAGAGGGGCAATTCCCCATTTTACTATTCTGTGTGTTTCCAGACAAGTTTTCAGCAGTGTAACTCAGGCCAATCTTCATTGAAGCACTGTATTGTGCAGCTATAGATGTGTACACACACATAGAGCAAACTTTCAGATACCACACTGTGAAGAACTACTTAACAGCCAAGCTTCAAAGCCTGCTAAAATGAGTGAGAGATCTTTTCTTCTTGTCTGAAACGGAATCAGAGCCATCCTTTTCTGATCTTTTAGCACACCTAACTAAGAAATAAAACGAAAGACCAAGTGAGCACACAACAAAACACTTTTCAAACAGAGAACAACTGCCCGTGGGGCAACTCCAATGGAGTCCACACTATCAACCAACAAACCCTGAAGGCACAACCAAGGTGACAGTGTTGGACTCCTGATCCTGGAACACATTCACATTTGTTTAACTTCAGCTGCAGAATACTGTAAAGCAGAAGGACTATTGACATGCTTGTGGATGGATGGCCATGGAACTGTTGACTGACAAAGACCCCAATTCTGCAGTTACACTGAGTCATATTGACTTGTGTATCTTACCTAACTTGTATATCTTACCTAACCCTTGTACAGTATGGATTTTTTTACCTCAGCATTTGCAACTATACAGAAAATGGTTTTAAACTGTAATTTAAGAGTGAAACAACTGTGTGTAGAACGTGCCAGTTACAGAAAAACTGCAAGACTACTTTTCCTTCTCATGGATTTAATACAAAGAAGAGATGACAGAGTGCTGCTTATTTGTACCAGTGTGTTGTAATGTTTAAGTACCTGTCAAACCTCTAACAATAAATATACATCAAAGAAATCAAAGACAATAAATAAAGCTTTTAAAAAGACATGAGATACGGAACCTGACTAAACTCTTTCTTGTAAGCTTTGCTTTTGTCCTGGCTTCAGCAGTAGCAGTCATTTTTTCTCCTTCTTAGTAGCTGGTGCAGTGCTGTGTTTTGACTTTCGCCCTGGGAACAGCGCTGATAACACCGATGGTTTTAGTTACTGCTCAAATGTTTGCTCCAACCAAGGACTTTGCTCTGCCAGGGAGGAGGGGAAGGCGGGAGGAAGCAGAGACAGGACACCTGACCCAAACTGACCAAAGGGGTATTCCATGCCACAGCATGTCATGCCCAGGAGGTAAACTGAGTTACCCAGAAGGGCTGGTTCACTGCTCAGTCGGGCTGGGTATGGATGGGTGGTACTGTATTCTCTTCCCTTGTTATTTCCCTTATCACTATTATTATTGGTGGTAGTGTTTTGTGTTATATTTTAGTTACTGGACTGTTCTTATCTTACATTCTTTTGTATTATGAGAGTTACATTCTTTTGATTCTCCTCCCTGTCCCTCTGGGAGCCAGGGGAAGGAAGGGGGGAGTGAGCGAGCAGGCTGCATGGGTCTGAGTTACTGACTGCATTTAAATCACGACAGCTTTACATAAAACTGGTTTGTATTTATCTAACTTTTACAATAAGAAGTAACAGATTTGGTGAGTAAATTGCCGAAATTACTCAGCTGAAGAAGACAATTCCACCCGGACATGTACCGTCTTCAAAGATACTCTGAAAAAGCTTTAAACGAATAGTGGTACATAATGAAATCTGCTTCCTGCCTGGGCTTAGTTATAGAAGGGTTACTGTTTTCCAAGATACTTTAGAAAAATAATAAAATCATACAATAGTTAGGGCTGGAAAGCACCTTAAGATCATCCAGTTCCAGCCTCCCTGCCATGAGCAAGGACACCTCACACTAAATCAGGTCACCCAAGGCTCTGTCCAATCTGGCCTTGAACTGCCAGTGATGGAGCATTCACAACCTCCCTGGGCAACCCATACCAGTGCCACACCATCCTCACAGTAAAGAACTTCTTCCTTAGATCCAATCTAAACTTCCCCTGTTTAAGTTTTAACCCATTACCTGTTGTTCTATCACTGCAGTCCCTAACGAAGAGTCCCTCCCAGCATCCTTATAAGCCCCTTTCAGATAAAATTTCTTATCTTCCAGGTCTTCAGAAGACTTTTTTTCAAGCATTGTAAATAAAGAAACTGCTTTTAAGTCAAAAAGGAAATACGAACAAAGGGATTAGGCATCTTCTTCATTTCTATCCTTCTCTTTAAAGAAAGAAGTCACTGAAAGTGTCAGAAAGTACTAAAACAGTAAGAGAATGATTTCAGCACACAGCCAAGAAAAAAACCTCCATAAAACTGATGAGAATTCAGCTAAATTTCACTGTGAAATTAAATTGAGAAACCACTCCCATGCTCGTGGTCACAGCCAGGTTTTAGGCAAACATATTTGTCCCTTCACATCTGTGCATTTTCTGCTGTGTCAATGCAGACCCTTTTTGTGCCTCTGGCACAGCAAAGCAACTGATACAGCAAGTTTTGCAACAAACCTGATGATAAGGGAGGAATTTCCAGACTTGCCAGTCTTAGGCCCTGAAATGTGCAAGGTATTTCAAAATCCTGACCTGTATGTGGTGTTTGGAACATAGACGTCCCTGGCAGGGAACTCCAGGATTTCTCTTGTAGGTCTAACTCGGCTGTCTGGGTAGAGTTTGACTTGAAGCAACTCTGGAGTCAGGCAGTAATGAGGATTCTCTGGAGCTGGAGAGATGTCTATCTTTAATTGAGCTGCAAGAAGAAAATGGTTTCATTACAACGAATAGAATTTAGGCCAAAAAGCATTTTCATGCCTTGTTTTTTCAGGTTAATATCCTATATATTATTTTCATAAATAAATAAAGTTATAAATTACAGCCAATGTGGATTTGTTAAAAACACAGTGAAAAATTATACGCCTAAAGCGTTAAAAACAAAAGTGAATCAAACTGGTATCTAGGGCAACTGGGATACCAGATAATGAGAACCAATGGAAAAGATGGATCTTAACAAGTCCCAATTGTTGTTCTCATAGGCAAGTTGGGGAAATACAGTCTAGATAATGCTACTGTGAGGCCCAACTATTGCTAAAAACAACAGAATCACAGAATAGTTTGGGGTGGAAAGGACCTTAAGATCATCCAGTTCCAACCCCCCTGCCATGGGCAGAGACACCTCACACTAAACCGTGTTGCCCAAGGTCCAAACTGGTCTTGAACACTGACAGGGATGGAGCATTTACCACTTGGCACCCTGTGCCAGTGCCTCAGCACCCTCACAGTAAAGAACTTCCTCCTTAGATCTAACCTGAAATTCCCCTGCTTTAGTTTGAACCCATCACCCCTTGTCTCATCAGTAATATTGCCTATCAAACTGCAGGGATACATCAGAAGTTGCTGAAAGCTGATCTGCACTGAGACTGCTGAGTATTTTCCTTGGCCAGTCAGGTGACAGCACTGACACCACATTTATTGCTGGTGGATGGCACTGGAATCATTGTAAACAACAGGAAGCCAGGACAGTAGGAGAAGTGGCATCAGATGACTAAGATGAAACATAAAGAAGAGCAAAGGATTTGAATTGAGAAGACAAACACATAATTGGCATGCATCAGCTCTGTAGAAAAGGGCTGGGTGACAGCAGTGACAATAAACCAATGTCCAGACGAAAGCTACAACCATTCTAAGATGTATTAGTGCAGTGTCGTGGGTAAAACATTGCAAATTTGTCTGCTTTACTTGGCATGGGGGCTTCAGGGGAGTAGTGTGGCCAGTTTAGAGCTTGAAGAAAAGCATGGACAGATTACAGAAACTCTGCCAGAGGGTAACAGGCTATTTTAAAATCACAGCCTTTGAGGAAGGACAGCAAAACCCCTGAGATAGGTTAGGCTACAAAACAGAGGTGGATAAGAGTGAACTAATAACAGTATTCAAGTACTTGAAAGGCTGAGATAACTGCCCTGAGGGCATGCCAGACCATCATCAGATTAATTTGCAGCAAGGTAATTTTGCAAAGTTTTCTTAATACCTAACCTCACTCCAAGGACAGCTGAGTGCTGGAAGAGATGAACTGAGGAAGAGGTAGGATTGCTGTCACTGGAGGTTTTTAAGAACAGGTTAAGTAAATATTGTCAGAAATAGCACAGGTCAGGGGCCCGTTTCACTGCTGGTGTGCCAGCATTTCAATTTCCCTTTCTCAAACAGAGGTGGAGTCTGTTCCTATTAACCAAGTGGGAGCCAGGAAAGAGATCCCTCAGCTAGAGAGTGGCATTTTACTCAGTGGTATTTTACAAAGGCTCCTCAGCCCCTGATGGGTTTAGGGCTTTGGGGCTTGCATCCTCACCTCACAGATACTACTCTCAGTGTGACAGGAGTTGCATGTGCACACAGACCAGTGAAATACCTGCCAAAATGCCATCTTCAGTGTTCATGGTCTACCAGGGATTGCTGACAAGGGCTTTTTAGGGTTTTTTTCAGCTGCTGATTTATAAGAACTGGGTGGCTACAGGGAAGGACTAACCAAATGCACGTGAGCCAGAAAGACCTCATTCAATACCTGTGATAGGTCTCAGTCTCCGCAGCACTGATGATGGCCGCTTCATGTCAACAAGGAACTTGTACAGATCATCATCACTCAGGCGATCACCCTCCTGTGGGATGTTAGCAAGAAAACAGTTATCTACACAACACGTCAGGATTGTGAGAGAATGAATAAACCATCTAATAGTGCAGGTATTAGATGTATCAGTATTCCCCCGATATCAAAATGTACCTTTCCAGAACAAGGTGTTAACATTAACATGCTAAATTACAGTTCATTTCTCCATCCTTTTCCCTTCCTTTTTCCCTTATTAATCATCATGACAGCTGCAGGAACTTCTAATTGAAAACCTTTTCTCTCCCCATCAATATTATCTTTTCCCAAACTGAAAACGGCTGTTAGAAGATTCCCCCCAAATACCCACTTTTTAGCAAGGATAATAAGTTTGAAAATGTATCCGTCATTCAAGTAGCAATCCCTGTTCCTTCTCTGCCTTTTCTTGGGTATGAGTCTAAAAGAGCCTCACTTCACAGAAGTGTTAAGAAACGGTGGGAAGTAGGAGGAGCCTGTTGTCAGCTTTACTTGTGCCACATGGTGGTAGCTCAGAACTTTGTTAATTATAGAAAATGTACCTCTGCCACCCTATAAGTATCCAAAAAGCAGAAGATATCTGATCACAACAGTAATAAGTCACAAAAAAGAAGCAAATGGAAGGAGAAAAACGCTCAGTACTCAATGGAAGAAAATAAAGGGAAGATAAAAAATAATCAAGCTTAAAATCTCCAATCAACATTATGCAATTTTTAAAGGACAAATTAATAAAAGAAGCTGTTTGAAAGCTGTCAAGTGAAAGCAACCTCAACAATGGAAATAATTAAAGGCTTTTTTAAAGCATTAGTATCTTAGTGACCAGGTTTAAACTGCTGTGTATTACTTCTCACTTCCTACATGTTGGGTGCCTATGTTTCACAACTGGATTTTATCAACACCCCAAGTGAAAGGTACTTCCTGTGCTGCTGTCACCGAGACCCCAGGGGTACCATTGACAGAGCTCAATTCCAGTCATACTGAGTTTCAGGATAGCACAGAGCACCAGAGGCATGAGTAGCCCTCCACTTCCCTGGTTTGCACCAGTGTAACTCAATGCCCTTGGTGACATTTCTCCTTGTTTACACTACTTATTTAAGAGCAGACTTTGGATGGCTACCCACAGTGAAAGTGGCATGGAACCAAAACAATCAGAAAGGGAAAAAGAGAGAGTTCAACCAACTTTCAGTATATGGAACCTACATCTTTGTATTCCCAATGATTGAGAAATCAGTCCAAAAAGTAGCTAGTTCTACAATAGTAAATCCCTTTTTAAACACAATGTCACAAAGGTGACATTGAAGTAACGATTTTCCTTAACCAGATGTGGCATTAAGC